ATAATAAGCATTTACTTATATCTCATTATTTTTTGTACTCACAAAGCAAGGCCTCCGCCAACCAAAGTCCAGTTGTTGCTTCTCCCGACCATCATAGTGCTCAGGGCAATGATGAAGCCTTCGAAGGCACTGCTGCATCCCCACCATCTCCAACTCCTCCGCCGCCTCCAAGGAAGTCCACAACTCCTCCGCCGAGGTCTCCAACGTCTCCGCCGCCTCCAAAGTCTGCACTGCCTCCAAGGCGGTCTCCAACGCCTCCCCCGCCTCCAAGGAAGACAACCCCTAAGAGGTCCGCCCCACAAACGAAGCCGTTGCCCCGCCCGTTGGCAAAGAAGCAGAAAGCAAATACTCATCCAGTTATTCCCCAAAAACTATCTTATGAGAAAAGTGAACAGGAATTAAAGGATGCAGTACAAAAAGAAGTGATATATTTCTTTGAAGGTGCAAAACAGGCACGACGAGCGAGGGGGAACCCGGAGCCATCATACTTCTTCCTACCTCCAGATCAGCTAAGAAAGAAGTTGGAACAAAAAAAAACGGGATTCCCTTAAGAGCGCCGCGAAACAACCGATATCGGACTATGACCGCTCTCTCACCAAGTCATATGAGGCGGCGCAAAAAAGAAGAGAGTAGGGAAAGGTGTTGCACAACTCAGACAACAATCGCAACAATCAATCCCCCCCTTGTCGTTCCTAATGAATATGGTTTAAACTTAAACTTAGTGGAGGAGGTAGGCGGCTATGAGTCGTTTCTTCGATTTTATGAGGACACTGGTTTGAACCTTACCGAAGTGCTCGCTGAAGGACCATCTACTCCGGAAGTGGATCCTTACAAGAAATTTATACCAGGCCAAAGTCTATACAACCCAGAGAAATTAGGTGAACTGGGTACGCAAATGTACCTGCTAAACGGGTGATACATGTCGGCGTCTGATGCGGGACAAATCTATCTTTCTGTCAGAATTAGAAACCACCATTACTTCCATGGCAATGACATTATCTATGTCGAGCTTCCAGAATTACACCAACTATGCCACCTGGACTCTCTCGACAAAAGTCTCATTAGTTGCTATTGTCTGTAAGTGTGATTATTTTCTACTATATTCACAATTTCTTTATTATATATTCACAATATATATATTCATAATTTTCATGTATGCAGATATGAGATGACAGAACTTAGAAAGAGAAAGGATAATGATGTTGGATTCGTTGATCCGTATGTCGTATACAAACACCCTAACCCCCGAAGGATTATAAGCCTCAACCTGAGAGAAATCTCATGAATTTCTTAGTGAACCAACGCGACAAGAAGGAGATACTATTCCCCTACAACTTCAAGTGAGTGTTATTATAAGTAATTAATGTCGATCGTATATATGGGACATCAATATTTCCTTACTAGCTAGTCACCTCACACACACACACACACACACACACATATATATATATATTAGCAGCAATCACTGGATATTGATGGTCATCGATATGGCCAATAGTAGATTGAAAATCTTAGACTCGTTGAGAAAACCGCAAATGGAGTATCAAGACATGATAGATATTATACAAGGGTAATTAATTTAGTTTCTCTATAACAACATATATATATATATATATATATATATATATATAATGGCGCCGATCTCTCAACAATTATTAAAGGTTAAATTATTTTTTTATTTTATTGGGAGCAGGGTTTGGAAAAGGTTCATTGAGGAACAAAAAATAAAACATTGCAAAGCGCCACTGGGTGTAATCACACACAAAGTAAGTACTATAACTACACATTTATATTCAATTAACACCATATGATGATTTTAATTCACCCTAATTGATTTTTTTGTCATAAAAGTGGGTTCTAAGGCAGGAGTAGGGTAACAACTACTGCGGATACTATGTTTGCGAGTTCATCATGGCGTACTCAAAGAGAAGTCCTGAAGAGCAACTCAAAGTACGTATATAAATATTTTTTCCTTTATATTATTTCGATCGTATATTTACAATTTCTTTATTGCTCTCATTTGTATAAGTAATTACATGAGCAATACACATATATATATATATATATATATTAATACTTTTTCCTTTAACTTTTATTGAAGACTGAATGGTTGAGGGAAAGAGTCATACGACTTGACCAACTTAAAGCAATTCGAGAGACTATCGCAGGATTTCTAAATGACCAGGTTATCAACCCCAATGGCGAGTTCTACAATGACCCGAACGAAACGTGGATGCCAAATCTGGAGGAGTGAATTGCTAAGGACATAAACAATTTATATATCAAACCTTTGTAATATATATATATATATATATATATATATATATATATATGCACATATTATATGTACATAAAGTAACGTGTGTATATATATGATCATCATATATATATGCATGTACGCGTATATTCGTTTGTTATTTATGTACAAAGTTCGAACGAAAACTTACGCGGACGAAGTACACATATATATTACTATTAGCAGCGTATTCGAAAATGTATTTTAATATCAAAACTAATCATTAAATGAAAAAAGAAACCAAAAATAGAAACCAAAAAGGGGAAAAAAAGAGAGGGACATTTAGTCCCGGTTGGTAACACCAACCGAGACTCAATGTCCTGCCCCGTGGCAGTCCCTCCCGGTTGGTGTTTCCAACCGGGACTAAAGGTCCTGCCCCGTGGCGGTCCCTGGCCAGGTCTGGAGGCCCCCTTTACTTCCGGTTGGTGTTTTCAACCGCCCCTTTAGTCCCGAACGTCAAGCCAGGACTAAAGGAGGGTACCTTTAGTTCCGGATTGGTGCTCCCGGTTGGGAAACCAGGAGCAAAAAGCCTTGCTGCACCAGTGGTGGTACATGCAAATAGTATATATATGTGCCTCATTTAGAGGTTTCCGGCAAAGTTTCACTGCCATTTTATGAGAATATAAGCCATGTTTTGTATCTTATTATGGTCTCAATTCTGAATTAAAAGCTAATAGTTTATGCAAACCAAATTAATTGGTGTATAAGCTTTGCCCTTGTTTCCCTGCTATCTTGACGCGATGTATAAAATGTTAATGCTAGCTCAGGTTTTATAATTATTGTGATGCATATGAAAAAAACGAGAGACTTTAGATATACAAAAAATTAAATAGTATCCATGGGAAAAATGTGTGGCAGAACCACAGCTATTCTACTAAACATACACTGCGTACAATTTTTATAGTTCATGCCTGTTGAAAGACCACAAGATATCCCTTTCTGTAAAGTATCTTTCCTGTTTGTTAACAATACATGGAAAAAGGATGCATGAACTTTCCTTGTTGAGTACCATGTATAATATGATATTTTGTTATGATTCCATCATCGTGTGGCCAACAAATCCTGTCACTATACCCTTATTAAAGGATCCACTACTTTTTCTACTCGTCATTTGAACTAAAGTTATGGCCATATATACTACATCCGTCCAAAAAAGAATGTAACTATGAGTTACGTGCCACGTAAAATAGTTAACGTTTAACCAAGTTTCTAGTTAACGTTATTCATATTTATGGCTCCGAATTAATTTATTATGAAAATACATTCCGTAATCAATCTAATGGTATTTATTTGGTATCATAAATATTGATATTTTTTTTATCTACAATTGGTCAAACATAAGGTACTAAAACATGACACTGTGCTAGAATTGCATTTTTTTGGGGATAGATGTAGTATCATTGTTTATTTTCAACGTCATTATTCACTTACACCGCGACTGGGATACATGTATTCCCCATCTGAAAAGTTTATTCATTGAATTACATTGGTCGCAGATATGGATTAATACAAGCAATAATTCACTTGTTCTGGTGATGTTAGTGAACAATTGTCTGATTTTCTTTATATTTCCATTTCTGTTTTCCATGTGTTCCCCTTCTTCAGATACATTATTACTTGGAACCTTTCTGTTTATAACCAAGAAAAACTGCTTTACATCTATTTAGTTTTTCTATGATTATTGTTTGACCTAAAATAGAATATGTTTGATGCAAAATGTATGTATAGAAGATTTATTACAGTGGAAAAGTTTTTACTAGTTCTTGCTATTTTAATTTGCTCCCATTGTTTTCTCGTGATTCTGTTATCAGTTTTCTCTACAAAGTAGTGGTGAGTAGCGACATTGCATTATTTCATAGGTGTATCATGTAATGACTGGGCAGGTTCATGTAATGACAGGGCACAAATTTGTGGTCTTCACATTCTTGATTTCATCTGGTCTTGTTTGTCTTATTGTTTCAATCCTATATTAAAAATCCTTATCCTACCACTTCCATTGGCAATATTCTACTAATTGCGACTGTAGCCACCCTATTGCTGTTCTAAAATTCCATTGTTCGACCTACCCTATCATTCCAGAACGGATATAATTCTTTACATACAGTTATGGGCTCTCTGATGTGCTCACTTGATTGGTAGCAGTCCAGCATGGTCGAGACTGAAATACTTTGAAATTTTGACTAAATAAAACTCTGAAAACATGTGACCAACCAAAAAACTAGTTTTGTCTGCAGATGGTAAATCAGAAGGGGTTGGCTCTTCTGAAGATGACATGGATCCAGGCGGCCGTGAGAATGACCCACCGGAGATTGACCCGCGAGCGGAGGACAAGGAGCTCAAGTATCAGCTCCTGAAGAAGTACAGTGGCTACTTTGAGCAGCCTCAGGCAAGAGTTTTCCAAGAAAAAGAAGAAAGGAAAGCTCCCAAAGGAGGCCAGGCAGAAACAGCTCCACTGGTGGGAGCTGCACTACAAGTGGCCTTACCCTTCAGTAAGATATCTCCCATACCTTATTAATTCTTGCTCATATGTATAAACACAATACCATTGTCTGACTGTATTCGGTACAATGACAAAAGGATAACAGATATCCGTGACCTGTCTGCAACGTTAACACTATCAAGAATTATGGAAAAATAGTGAGGAAGAATCATAAACTGAACCTGCATGTATAACATTGTTACTGAAGTAATGTTGTTGGAGCAGGAGACGGAGAAGATTGCGCTTGCAGAGTCAACAGGCCTGGACCAGAAGCAGATCAACAACTGGTTCATCAACCAGAGGAAACGGCATTGGAAGCCGTCAGAGGACATGCCTTTCGTGATGATGGAAGGCTTCCACCCACAGAACGCAGCTGCGCTGTACATGGACGGCCCGTTCATGGCCGATGGCATGTACCGCCTCGGTTCATGAGCAGCCGTGGACTGGACTATCCAACCATTGGACCGTCGAAATGTTTCTGTGTACCAGGAAGGATGCGTTGAAATGCAAGGACACTGTTATGGAATTTTTGTTACCGTTTACCGCTGATTGCCAAGGGGGGTCGGTCGGTCGCGGTCGCTCGCTCTAGTGTCTATGGCTTGTAGTTCTGTAATGTTGTTAATTTCCGCTTGACGGGTTGTAATCTAGGTGTATTTCGAACTTGATTGTCCGTGCAAATACCCTGGTGATTAATTCGGCATGCAGTCGTCTGTTTGTATGATTGTATGGTTCAGATTTGTGGAACATGCATGTTAAAGGCGTGGCCTGTCTGAATCAAAAAAGATGTCTTGTCCTTCAGCAGATACATACTCCTACATATCGATGGTTTTACAATGAATGAACTGTAGATTACTTAACATCTCCGTTCTGCATTCACTTCTTTATTTGAAGCTCTGAAGATCCACACAAAGTTGACAACATTCATGCATGTCGTGCTGGCGTTTCTTTCGTGGATCTGAATGTGGTACTGCATGTCTGCATTGTGTCTGCAATGCTATTCTTGTGCTGGCTGTACTATACTGCTGCTGCAGTTGGCTACTACACTGAATTGGGCGTCTTTCTTCATCAGCCTTCTTGTGAAAACTGTCTTGCCTGATGAATGCTGATAGCATGTGGATGAGAAACTCTAGCCTAGAAAATAGCCTAAAAACAAAAAAAGATCAGTCAGTCAAAGATACGGAAAACAAATAAATGTGGTAGTGTCTGCATTGTGTCTATAATGCTATTCTTGTCGTGCTGGCTTCTGGCTTCTGGCTATATTATACTGCTACTGCAGTTGGCCGGCTGGCCAAGTAGAACTGGCCGTCTTTCTTCATCAGCTCTCTTGTGACAAAGTTCTTGCATTCTGCTGAATGCTGATAGCATGTGGATGAGGAACTCTAAGCCTAGCCTAGAGGTGCTTACCTTACCTACCAAGGTTAATGATATCTCAGTGCGTAAACAAAAAAACTAAAAATCTTCAGTCAGTCAAAGATATAGAAAACAAATAAACATGATTAAAAGTGGATCATCTTTTTGGGCAAGGGGGCATGGGGCAAATAGATTTTCAAAGGCAGTAGGGTCTGACGGTAGAGAGGACGATCAGAGGAAACATGCATGCATATTCATGGCAGATTGGCAGTACCTCTGCAACGAGATTGAACAGTGTCCCGATCATGGCGACCATGTTTGTTTGGCTGATAAGTCATAACTGAAAGTACTGTTGGCTGGTTTATTGTGAGAGAAAAATATTGTTCATTTGTTGAAAAAGTACGGCTTATAAGACAAGCGAACGAGGCGCGCGGGAGCAGTGCCCGTTCCACGAACGAATCAATGAGACGAAATGCTCTCCGGTAATCACTGGCGTACGTTATTGCAGCGTATTGCCCGGAGAATCATTCCGCTGTCGCAGTGGCCACGGACCTAACCTAACCAGAAACCATGGATCCATTCATTCATGTTCAGGTGTATAATATCCCTCTCATGGCATGCATGAATGTTGGCTGCGATCGAGCTGTTTGTTGGAGTGAGCTGTTTGCTTTGTGAGGAAAGGAAAGATCGGGTGGCCACTGCTGCCCCGGTTACTGTTTGTTACTGCTGCTTCAGTTCAGTTCAGTTCAGTTCACCAACAATAGTACCTGTGGTACTTGAGTGACAGTAACTCAGGAGCTAGTGCAGTGCAGTGCCTTCAATGGATAGGCATGTTCCAACTCCCTGGACCTGGATCCACAGTCAGCAAGCATACATATACTCCTACCATGCAGATGCAGATGCAGATGCAGACGCTGTCTTGCCTGACAGGCAGAAAGCAAAATGCTGGCGTTCCATGACGAGGACTGCAGACTGAGACTGTAAAAAGGCTAGGATCCACGCTCGCTTGCACTGTTGAAAGCCCAGTGTGCTCCCCAACAACTGACGGTTGAAACATGCTGTAAAAGGATGACGCCGAAATGCTGCGCTGCGCATGACCACCGTTCGCTGACGCGTCGCCGTTCATAGTACGTGCGTGCCAGGACAGTAGGAAAGCTACGGCCGGGCCGGGGCATGCAAGTGGCTGCCGTTGCCTTGCCTGCCCTGCTGGGACGGGCAAGCCATGCATATCCATCGAGAGCCAGGCAACCTCGCACAGAAATGGAGCAGGAGTTAGACGGGCCGTCGTGTCAGAGCACCACAAATATGCTTTCCTTCCTTGCTTGATTGACTGCGCTGTCAAGAACTCAAGATCGACCAAATCTTTCAGCAACAACAGCCATCGGTTTCCTTGTTACTGTTACTCTTCCTCTTTTTTCTCTTCTGGGCAGAGCCGATGGCAACTGTTGTCGGCAGCAGTAGAGCTAGCTCGCTGTAGGGGGGGTTTATATATGCTTTATATATAGGTACCATTAATTATGCTGCCTGATTCTATCTATATATGTCGTGTCAACGCAAGTTGGTGGGTGTACGCATGGTGATGGCGTGTGTGATTGGATGGACTGTCGATCACTGCTCATGAACAGTGTCGTCAACAAACAGTCACAGCAGAGAATGCAATCTCTCGTCAGGAGATTATGATCACCGGGTCAAGGAACATACGAAACCATCCACACACGCTGGCTGCGTCTCCGATCGAAACACGCAACGGCAGGTGGCGCCTGGCGGGACGCTAGTTGCGGCCTCGCCTAAATTTTTTATTTTTAGCGTTTTTTTGAAAATTTTTCATAAATATGTCTCCGAAGGTAAGATTTTAAAATCTGGACCCTTAGCTCGGCGCCATCGTTGTTGGCGCCGAGCTCTTGACTCGACGCTGACGTGACGGTGATTTGGCAGGCAGCTCGGCGCCATAGATCTTGACGCCGATGTTGGAGTTGTTCCAAATTCACTCCAGGATATAGGCCGGGCTTCTGACGGAGCGGAGCGGAGGCCCGTCGCCGGAGGCTTGGGCCGGAGCGTAGCGGAGTCTGAAGCCGGCCCATCAGGTCTCACCCCTGTGCTCGGGGGGTGCGGGGGGGCGGAGCCCCACACGGTACGGTACGATATATACACCCTTGCTAGGGTTTCGTGGAGACTTGATTCTCTTGTAAGCCGCCATAGGCGTGTAACCCAAAACTCTTGAGATAGTGAGATTGTTGCTGGCTGGTGCCCGTGGTTTTTCCCCTTCACATTGAAAGGGTTTTCCACGTTAAATCGTGTGTCTCCTCTGTGGCTTGATTCTTTACTTCATATTCCTATACGTCGTTCATAACAAGTGGTACCAGAGCTTTGGTTGCTGTTAGGGTTCATGACGACGTCGATGAAGTTCGATCTTCCGCTTCTGAACTACGACACGCGTTCTCTCGCTATGGCAAGTCAAGATGCGGGGATTCGGCGCGCAGACTCATGACTATGATGAGGCCCTAGATAGTTTCGGAAAGAGGAAGGCCGAGTGGACTCGAGAAGAGATCCGCAAGGATCAGAAGGCGCTTCGCCTAATTCAGGTTGCATCTTCATAATGATATTTTGCGAGGAGTGTCTCAAAGAAAAACTGCTGCAGAACTATGGTGAAATCGAATCGATCTGTATGTCCAAGGATCTAACCAAGAAGATGCGATGAAGATGAAGTTTGTTCACCCCGAAGATGAAGGAGGAGGATTCAAAGATGAGCCACATCGCTGAATTCAAGAAGATCGTCGCCGACCTAGTGTCGATGGAGGTGAAGTATGATGATGAGGACTTAGGTCTTTTATCTTGCTATGTTCTTTGCCAAATTCAGTATGCAAATTTTTGTGACACCATACTTTTGAGCCGTGATGAACTAACCCTAAAGGAAGTTTATGAGGCTCTCCATCTAGGGAGAAGATGAGAGGCATGGTGCGTAATGACGGACGTCATCCTCCAAGGGCGATGCTTTGCATGTGAGAGGCGAGAATCGAAAATGATCCTCTAATGATGGCAATGATGGAAGAAAGAACTACGAAAGGAGAGGCCGTTCAAAGTCCAAGCCGCATGGTAATAAAAAGTTCATGTTTATTGCAAGTGACAAATCATAATGTTGAGTATTGCGAAAAAAGTACGAATAAGGAGAAGAGGAAAAACAAGTCGGCTGGTAAGGTCTATGTTGCTGCTGCTGCGTCTGATGATGATTCTGGAGATTGTCTGGTAGTATTTGCTGGTTGTGTTGCTGGTCATGATGAATGGATTCTCGATTCCGCATGTTCATTTCATATTTGTACTAACAGAAATTGGTTTAGCTCGTATAAGCCTGTGCAGAAAGGGGATGTTGTGCGGATGGGAGATGATAACCCGTGTGACATTGTGGGGATTAGATCAGTTCAGATCAAGACTGATGATGGCATGACACGCACGCTGAAAAACGTCAGATATATACCAGGGATGTCCAGAAATCTTATCTCATTGAGCACGCTTGATGCAGAAGGTTACAAATATTCCGATTCAGATGGCGTTCTGAAGGTATCAAAAGGTTCTCTTGTTTGCTTGAAAGGTGATCTTAATTCTGCAAAGTTATATGTCCTTAGAGGGTGTACTTTACCTGGTTCTGATTCCGCTGTTGCTGCTGTTACTAATGATGAACCTAGTAAAACTAACCTTTGGCATATGTGTTTGGGACATATGAGTCACCATGGTATGGCAGAATTGATGAAGAGAAACCTGCTGGATGGCTGCACTTCGAGTAAAATAAAGTTTTGTGAGCATTGTATTTTCGGGAAGAATAAAAGGGTACATTTCAACACTTCTGTTCACACCACTAAAGGTACTCTTGATTATGTTCATGCTGATTTATGGGGCCCTTCCCGTAAGTCCTCACTTGGTGGTGCTCGTTACATGCTTACAATTATTGATGATTACTCTAAAAGGGTTTGGCCTTATTTTCTGAAACAGAAATATTATACTTTTGCTGCTTTTAAGGACTGGAAAGTAATGATAGAAAGGCAAACTAAAAGGAAGGTAAAATTGCTTCGTACTGATAATGGTGGAGA